CATGCATTCCATTTCTCTCCAACTGCTATACTGCATGATCATTATATGTATTAAGTCCAGACAACATCAACTTTTTTTTTTTATGGATTTCAGTATAATTTGTGCTGTTTGTTTCTTTAATATGCCAAATCATTCTGTCTATATGTCCATCTATCTTGTTGCTCATATTTTGTTCTACATCTGTTACTTGATGGTGCTGTTTGAATTGTGCCGCAAGGAGGGAAAAATAGCGAAGAGTCCTGAATTATGTATAAATATGTACTTTCCAGCACTGCAAGGAATAATTTGAGGAAGGCATACATTCTTGCTTCTGCTGCACATTGGGATGGCTGATCTGGAGGAAAATTAGCACAGAACTACAAAAAAAACCATATAGCAAAGCACAAATCCCCATCGTACTTCACCAAACACTCAGGAGAAACACTGTCTTCAGAAGCCCATCAGAGGGATGTCAGACTTCTTCCAGTTCTTATTCCAGTCAGCACTTCCAGATAACAGAAGTTATCATCAAATGTTCAGTACCTTCCATCATTTTCAAGGCCCCTTTTGAGATACACTTTCTTGTGGTTTGGACAGCAAGCTTGCAAAGTACAACCAGAATGCACGCTGAAGAGTAAGCATGCTTACTCCACATACCGTAAGAGATTAGGATGCCACCATGCATCTCCAGACAGGCTGTCTGAAGGCTCTCTGCAAGATAACTGCATAGAAGACAAATGCAGGAGGAAGAACATGCTGCATTTACGATCTCCATAAACATTATTCTTTCAATGAAGTATGCACACACAGAGGCTGCACAGTATCTTCACAGATAGCAGCTTTAATAGCCAATAGCTGTAATGGCAACAGTATTAAATAACCACTGAATTACAGAGCCATTGAAATACTAAATATAGAAGAGTTGACCTACATTTTGGAAGGGCTTTAGTCAGAACAGCTATGTCTGAACTTGGGACTCAGGAATACCTCTGAGTTGCTGGACCCAGACAGGAGTCTTGGCTCCCCATCCCCACACGCTGATTCCCTCAAACACGATATTCTGGCAGTTCAACTGGTAAAGAGGCAAAATGTGCTCCAAACAATCCAGAAGATCCAAGGTCTTTTTGAATCCAGTGCCACATGTACTACTGCATAAATTTAGATGCAGTCATTGAACAGTGGGGTTGTGCTTGCGTAGTAGATTCTAAACTGAAGTTGCAGTGTTTAAAAGCTAAACAAAGCAGGATTTGAGTAATCTCAACAGTCTTTCCAAAAAAAGGATAGCAAAGGACAGAGCTATGAGAAAGCAGGCTTGAATGAGGTATGCCAATTCAAAGTACTTTCAGCAACCCCCACAGGTAGAGTTCTCCGCTTATTCAGCGAGGGTGGTAGCAATAACACTGCCTTCACTTAGGCCAACCTTCTTTTCTGATTTGGTACAACACGCCTTAACTGTTTCAGGCAACTATAGTTCACTTCTATCTGCAAATTGCTCTATCCCTTTCCAAAACAGTTTGTGCTCCAAACATTCTCATATTTGTATTGGATATACTCCTTGGCACAGGGAGATGAAAGACATGGTAATTTAAGGCAAAAAAAAAATCATCTTTGTCCCTAATAAGGGGAATGCATTCTGCTTCATGGCACAAGCTGATCCTCAGAGTGAAAGAAAGGCAGTTCACAATATTTTTATTGAGCATACAAGGTCAGATCATGCCATATGAGGATGTCAGTATTGTCACTGTTGTAAATGCATTCCTGTACTGCATTCCTGTAGTAAAACACTCACAGCACAACACACTTTCTTGTCAAAGGCCTTGTTTTGCACAGATGACTATGTAGAGTGCAACAGTTTTTTTACTGACGGTCTGTCAAAGGAATAGGGCAAGAAAAGTTGATTTAAAGATGAAGATGGCTCTTGATTGAAGCTTTTAATCTCTCTTTATAGGCTGCCTGGCAGCACGTTGCTTTCACTTGCGATTTATTTTCTTCACATGTTCAAGCAAAGTAGCAAACATGGAACGGTAGTGGGCTACTTGGCACTATCATTCCAAGAGAAGTGCTACAGTTCATGTCAACTCTTTCTTCCTATTTACATTTTCTGTAGCCATGAAAGCAGGAAAAAACAGGAAAAAACATAAGCTTTTTTGGTGCTGCTTCACCGAACAATAACACAGGGCAACCTCACAACTTATGTGACATACCACAAAACTTGCAGGGAGCAACGTTAAGGAGGCTGATATAACATCAGAGACGATTCATTCTCACACACAGTTGGGTAAGCATAGCACAGCTGCACTGGAAACAAACAAGTCACTACAGATTTACAGTAGTATAATGTAGAACATAATTTGTTCTGAAAGGTCCAGTTTACATCCAAACCCTGCGAGCTGGTACCGGGTCTCAGAAAGGAGCTCTATGTTTATTGGTAATCCAAAGGAGTTGATTTGGCTTGCTGGATTCCACACTGAACTGAGAGAGGATAAGAGAAACCAGAAGAACGGAACACCCTCCTTTTATCTAGTGGTAATTTTATGCTGGAGGAAAAGACAAAGGAGCCAAAAAAGTCTTGGACTGAGTCTATGGAACGAAATTTTGAAGTTATCTTTTTTTTTTTTTTAAGAATGCAGGAAGATTAGCTTTTTTAATCTGTGATAAGAGGATCTTTTTTCCACAGGGAGTGAGAGGCAAGGGATGGATAGTCTACAGTATGACACAAAAAAAAAAGGCTGAAAATGAAAAATTAAAGCAAAATTTCTGAAGACAAAGTATCGTAACTTTAACACACATTTCCTCAAAGGTCCAAGAAGACACTGTAATGCTACATTTCCCACAGTATTTTTTTCTTTTAACTCTTCAGTCTAGTGGGGGAGAGGGGTGAAACGGCAGCAAGAAAATTAATTTATCATGACTATCAGCTATTTTTGATAAAATAATATTGACAACCCTAGTAATCTCAATTTTGCTATGCAGAATGAGTGGAGGGTAGCACTGTAAGAACATCAACTTAAAATGGTTTCCTTCTCCATTATGAGACTAAAGTATGTAAGGACTTTAAGGCTTCAGAACATATATTCTTGTTGGAGAAAGAGATATTATAACATCAGGCTTCAAACAGTTGAGAACTTCTAGCAACTGCAGAATTGCCACACTCTACCATAGGCTTATCAAGAGATAAAAACTACTGCATATAAAATATCTTTTCTTTCTTATCACATAGTAATAAAAGGCTTTGTAGTGAAAAATATAGTCAACTCAGACACTTGCTAATATTGCATCAGTCAGTGAAGGAGAAAGCTATTCTCATAATTTTGATCTAAATCCACTGAGCCATCATTCTGCTCCTACTGAATTTTGTGTGAGCTGCAGTAAAATAATTCCGTGCTTATAAAACCCACACCAGTTAGCCCCACAGGCACAGAGACAATGCACTTCACTGTGTGTCAGGCAATCTTGGTAAGAGAATTGGGGTGCGGGCCAGCGCTAAGCAGAGTATGCTACACATTTTATGTTCCTAGCGTAAGCAAAAATGAAAGTTCATTGCGGGTCCTCCATAACTCACACTTTGCAGCCCCAGATTAAACTGTTGCGTTTCAATAAAGAGAACTGACCAATTATAACTTAGCACACTGAATAGACTGAGTACTTATCTATAAATTCTCAGTACATCATTTCAAGTCTTTATGGTCCTACAGGGAAGAAAAATTTAACCAGAAGGACTGCAATTAAGTGTGTTAAACCAGCATTTGAGGATAGACTACAAACAACAATAAATACCATTTGTTCTAAATGACATCTATATATTCTCCTGTCTCTTTAATGTGAATCAAAGCTCACAAGCACAATGTGACAAGGTTCAGTTGGTTTACTGAGTATGACTATAAAGCTTATAACATATCCACAAACACCTACTACTCCTCCATCTCTTCTAGGGACACCGTAAGCAAGACCAACCCAGAATTTCATACCTCTCTTTACCCAACTTGTTTGCAACATATAACTCTGTACAATTAGCCAACCTGAAGTCATTACTTTTAAAAAAAAAAAAAAAATCATCTCTGGAATTTGTTTTCCTGATTTGACTTACTGGTACTCTGTTGGTAGTTCTCAGAAACCAAACAGCACACAGCAAATCATACTGACTCAAAAAATAAAAACTCATAATAATCACCATAACAGATTTTACAGATCACAAGAAGTTCGATTAGACCTCCTGAAATAAAACACTGTAGAAGTCAGCTCCTCAAGACAGGGAAAGGAACATTCATAAACATCTGACTTAATACAACTGATTAAATCAGACATACTAGTTTTTGTAAAACCACTCAGATGTCTGTCAGGATACAGCATTAGCTGGGATAGCTGACCAATCCATCAGGGCCAGATTGTGTACCAACTCAAAGTCAAATGGAGTGATAAGAGAACAGCTGTGCTGTCTTAGGAGCAGAAAAGAAATCATAAAACCCCAAATTGTGCCCAACTGACCTGTTTCCCACCTGCTTCTCCAAATAAGTTATTGCCCCTGAGATGTTTAAACTAATAACAGCTAAACTATCTTTGTGATTTGAGCATTGGTTCAGTAGATCTGCTGCTTCAAAGATATTAACAACCAGCTCTTATCAAAATATCAAAACTATGGTAAGTCAGATATACAGTGTGACATGCTCTGCCATATATCAGTGGAATATAAATGTCTATGGCATGGACAAAGGTTGCATACACAGGTCTCCATTAGGAACCAGATATCCCCTGAGAACCATGCTGTTTTCTTTAACCTTGAATAGTGCTTCTCTCTACTGACAGCTGTGGCTGTCAGTGGAGACAGGTGCTTCTCAAGATAAGGAAGAGTCATGGGCTCACAACTTAACTTCCAGGAGAAAATTTCTGGCAGTTGGTGACCTAAGACAGAAACGCAGGCCCCGCCAGCAAAAGTCAGGTTCACGACCTAACAAGAAAAGAGTATCTGAAACACAGACTATGAAAGCTTTTGACAAAGAGGTACTGCATTTGAATAAACTTACAGGAAGAATGGATACTCGGAAAACTTTTTCTGCCTTCAGACACCAAATCTGGATCACCTGTGCAGTGCATTTCAGAGTTCATTACTCCATCTGGAAAGCAGCGGTAAAAGAAATCGGGACGCGGTCTACAAAAAACACCATGGATATTAAAAATACAAAAGCTGTAGTAACAAATAAACTTCAAAGCGATTATTACATTTATTGCCTACAACATACAGAGTTCATTCCCTCCTGCTTGAACAACACACCAGTACATGAAATGCTTCATTTTCCTTGCACAATCAATTCAACGCAAACTTTTTTTTTTTCGCAGGCAGGCTCTCTCAGGGAAGTTTCCAATGCAGTATACTAGTGGGAGTTGGAGCCTGATTCTCCTCATAGTGCATTGAATTCCAGAGAATACACAGCAGCTCAGTTCTGATAATGAACCTGCAGAGCTACTCTTGCACAGCACTTCCAGCAGTGGGGCAAATTAGTACGGTAACCCCACAACATTGCACAAATCTTGCTGACACACCTAGCTGAGAACAAGCCCACAAATATACTGAGAGATTGGGTTCAAAAAACCTGCCAAATTCTAATCCCAGTCTTGAAGCTGTCTCTTTAACTGCTTCGCATAAACCTCTCTCTTTCTTTTAACCATGCTTTGAGTTGAATGGAAGCGTGTCGGCCTGAGTGGTGTCACACTGAGCCTGAGCTAATACACCCCCTGTAGAGGCAAGGTGAAGGACCACAGATTCAGGGACACGCTGACAGAACAACCAGTTGGCTTGGAGTGCAGGCAGAATGAGCTCATGTCTGCCCGCAAAAGATGATGCAGACATCCTTAATTATACTTCAAAAGCACTTTAAAGTAAAATTGCCAAGTACTACAATTGTCAGGGAAGCAGTTCTGTGGCCGAGACCATCAGAAACCAAGCACAAATTGCTGCAGAACACGTGAAGCTGAACAAAAAAATGCAGTGTTGGACTCAACTGAACGGTGTATGAATTCAAGCCAATTATATATTTTTCTGCTGAAGTTATGGCTATTCAAAATTGAGATAAAGAAAAAGAACCCCAGCAATTCCTAAAATAATTACTTTCCAGGGAGTTCTGTTCCTTAGCATTTTGTTCGGCCCTTCGTTCAAATTTATGCTTCCCTAGAAATGGCCTACCCAGCAGTCACTCACTGCTTATCCATGGCAGAACAAATCTGGGAGATCTTGATGTTACCTGGAAATACCACATTCAGTAATACACTTCACAAAACGGGTACACTGTGCCACATACAGACCCAGTTGATTTCTATTTAATCAGACTAGTGGCAATTAGCAAATAAACCCTCACGTGCTGTGACTCTTCCTTTTGGTGCTGCCAATGAAATGAACTGAATTTAATTCACACCTTTTCTTTCAAACTTCACTTGGTTGTCTGGACCGCCAACCGGTCAAACAAGTAACAAAATGCAAGGGCACAGATCCCTGCTGCAGTTAGATGTCACATAATGAAGTTGTACAACACCTGTACCAGAGAGAGGACAGCATTACAAACGCCCTTGCTAATCCAAAGTGTTTTGGAGCAGTGGTTTTTCTCTTTTTATTAAGAAGCATTGTAACTGTCAACTCTATCTTCACTTCTTTAACAGTTAAAGCCATCATTTATAATATGACGAGACTTACCTTCCCACTATTAATTTAATAGTGTTTGTGCAGACTCCATTCAGAGCTAGAGCCAGGGAAACGGCTACAAAACAGAATGAAGAAACAGAATGAATGAAGTAGGTGGTTATGAACAATAACCACCTAACTACCAAGTTACAAATTACAGCATTACAGCATTTGATTTAGAGACTGAAACCTTTACTGAACTGGAAATGAATCTTTCTGCAAACCTCAACATATCATAGTAATCACATGACCAATTTTGTTCTGCTTTTACTCTTGAGAAATCTTACTTCCTTATGCAAAATGGGTTTCCTCTATCATGTCACTTGCACAGATGTAACTAATCAGAAGGCAAAAAGCATTACATGATCAAGTTCTGTGTTTATCAGTTTTGCAATTTACTAGCTAGAAATCTTACAGTCTTTGGACCAAGGGGAATTCTTGTACAGACACATACGGAAGACACACATACACATATTTGTACTTACATATATATACTTATATATGTACATACACAGGATCAGCTGAACCATCCAGTTTCAGGCAGAAGAACTGACCTTTAGCTAAAATTAGAATTGGATGATTTTTTCTTTCAAATGGACATAGATATTTTGGCTACAAATCTTGACGTTTCCCCCTACATTCTCTCCCAGGTGTTGACCAACCTTAATAATAATATTACAGTAATAAACAGAAGCTGTCATGCTGAGCATGACTGTATCACCCTCTTTATTTGTACTTAGACACCAAGTCCCTAGACTTCCCAAAGGACCTCATCTAAAGACTGTGGAGATTTCTGCCTTGATTTCAGTGGAATTTGGATGCAGTGCATATATTGCTTTTAGACTGAAACTGATTTAATGTTGCAGTCCAGATTGCAGTTCCCTAAAACAGGACAAGAACCATTGCATTTTATTTCTTAACTGAAAAGACTCTCAGGTAAATCTCCAATTTCTAACAGAACAGTTACAGTAATATAATTTTTGATTATGACAGCTGCACTGGCTATTTTCTCATTGGACTGCTGCTCCAAATGTGCTTCGGTAGCACTCATCCTGTCTCCATACAATTTTTGCCGGAAGATATTATAGATGATAAAAATCTATGCGTGTCACAGGATATATTTTTCTTAACATTAAAATAAAGAAAGAGGTCCTACATCAAAGCAAAACCAAGGGTTTTCTCAGATTTTACAATAGCTGCCAGCAAAAATAAAGGTACAAATAAATCCTAGGGACAGTGATATTGTTCAAAACAGTCAGGTTTCAAAACAGTCACTTTCAACACCTTTGTTCACAGTGAGCACCATGCCCATGCTCTTTTTCCTCCCAATTGTTTTCTCTCAGTTATTTGTGGTGACTGCATGTCATGACTGAACAGAAATTTTCTATGATCAGCAATGTCACAGCACAGCATTCTCTTTTTTGAAAAATGGGAGACGTAGAGACATTCGCCTTCCGAAATATGCTGTAAAGTTTACTCTTTTCATCAAGCTTTATCTTGGTTGTTCGCTGCAGGTCTAACTGAGCCATGCTTCAACTCCTATTGCATACTCAGTACAATAGCAGTCCAAGTATCGTATGTCACTGTGAATATAAGCCAATAAAGTACTCACTCTAGGGAAGATTCCCACTGTCCACCCCAAGAAACATAACTTAGTCAATAGAGAGAGGCAGGCACTTCCAGGGGAAGGATTCAGGGAACCTACTTTAGGAAACTAACTACTGCTTACCCTAGATGCACTGAACCACCTTCTGTATATTAATGGCTATGTGAGGAGCAATGCAGACACAGTATTTTCACCTCTTTTTAATCTTTGATCTCTTCTACCTATGATTACAGGTCTGTAAAGAAATTCACCTTTTGGGGGATTTCCTGATCCTTCATTACAAACTTTATGTGCCAGTTCACAGTGCAAATCAGCACTGCCTCATCACAGTAAATGAATCTTCACACCAGCTTCACATCACCAGACACTTACTGAATCATATTAATGTACAGTACTCTTGAATAGGATTCAGTCATGAGAAGTTCTACACTTATGCGCATATTGCACAAATGGGGCATAGGGATACTCTGCAGAACAGAGCATCAAAGTCAGGGTTTCCTTAAAGTTTGGGTGGCAAAGAGAACAGTGGAGAAGCTGCTGAGGACCTGAGAACAGAGTCTCCTCCTGGGCATTATAGAGGGAGCCATAACAGAAGGCAAAAATGGCAGGAACCATGAATGTCTCTTTAGAACAGAAAGATGAGAACAAGCGATAGGGAAACTAATCCAAAACTCCTTTCCTTCTGAAACGACACAAAGTGAAACTTTGTGACTGTCACATCTACTGTGACTGTATGCATCTAATTAATCCAGGCTACCTCTACTGAATGGACTTCTCAGTAAAACATCGCTTACAAGGCAGTTTAGAATTTTCTACAAACAACTAGCAGCAACCAAATAAAAATTAAGAACTTTTCACACTGCTGTTAGAGCAACTGGAGAGAAAACAAGCTGTGAGAACCTAGCCCTGGTTCAAAATAGTTTGAAAGGCAGATACACAGTAATATTTATATCCAATCTAGCTAAGGTAAAACTGAGAATCAGTTTGATCTTATGATCTTATGACCAATAAATTCAACTGCAAATTAGCCAGCAAAACACAGAAAAATTCCAGAGCTAGGCAGTTTTCAAATATACTGCCAAAACAAGCATTTGCAATTCCCTGTGCTTTAAAGTTCTCTCTTAGTAGAAGTGCTTCAGTCAATTCTGGACTCCGACAACACCAATAAAAGAAGGATACGGACCATACATCGCTAACAAAGATTTCAAAAGATAGACTCAGTCAGAATTAGCTGTGACAGTTTAAGACGTACCATCCTTACTGTGTACCCTGTACCCCTGCTGGAGGTTGCTGGCTACCCCTGTAACGTGAGCTCACCCTTAACTTTGCCGTTGCAGTTCATAGTCCAGGATTAAGCACACATCCAGCTCCAACGCCAGTTAAGCTAAAATATCAGACTGCGACTAGAAAAGCTGAGCCATGAGCCACGGGGAACCTCCAGGAGAACGTCAAAGAAAATAATGAGAGAAATAATTTCCTAAACAAGCAGCTAGGTCTTACAGGGCCCTCCTCTCCTGTCCAACCCTGAAGTTAGAACAGCTGCACTGTGAATAAGAGGTAAGTAATGGACTCACTGTGACAAAAAACTACATAACTGGACAGTCTATCTCAGCTAGTCCTGACTTTACTGACCAAATTCTGGCCCTTGCTAGCTAGACTGTGGAACCAAGGTACAGAACTTGTACACGTAGACACATCCACAAAAACAAAGGCTTTTGTGAGACAGTGTGAAATTACAGCCGCACTGAAACCTACTGTACAGGACTATAACAGAGAAAGGTTTTGTTCAAGACTTAGACTAAAATTTGAATCAAAGAACTATGACACATTTTTCCATCTTAAAATATGACATATATTACCTAAGAAAGCCTCTTTAATTTCAGTCTTGTCTGTTCGCCGGATTATTTTCACCACAAAAATGACTGCTAGTGGCGTAAGGAAGGAAATTGCCTGTAAGAGAGAACAAATTTCATGTGAGAGCATCAATTCCTTTTCAATCCTACTGATTAATAATTAGTTCCACTTAGCTCCATTTAAACTGGAAGGCTGAATGATCTTTATCAAACTCCTGACCTCAAGCAAAGTGGGATGATTTGTATTTGTAACTACAGGGCAATGAATACATTAAAAATCGTAACATAATTGTGGGTTATAATTGATGTGTAATTGCCTGGAGCTGCATTTAAAATGTCAGCTTCAAAAATGAAAAAAAAATAGTTTATAAATATCCTGAGTCATTTATTGCCAATTCTCCTTTACAAAGTTTCGTAGCAGCATTTATCCCAAAGACACAGAGAATAGTGGCAGCATGGTATTCAATATTGTGAAGCATACTGGTTTGTGAGTCCTGATAATAAGGATAATTTTATTCATTTTGCAAAATTTCATATGGACAGTGTTGGATGAAGCCCCTTCTTTGTAAGCCAAACATCACAGAAAACTGCTGAGAACTGATTTTTCCAGTCAAACATATCCTCCTTGCACCAAATATATCCTCCTATCCTCAGGAAAATCAATTAGGCCACCCAAACAATAAGGTGCAATTCAGTCAGGAAAAGGAGTCATACTGACGCCCGTTACTAATGCCATTTAACTGGAATTATCCTGCATGAAAATCACTGGTGAATTAAGAATCACTATGTCAGGCTGAAGTCAAAAAGCAACAAACTACTTTGGAAGACAACTGGAACTACATGGAAGAGAGGGCACACAAAGCAAATGGTCAAGTTTCTACTTCACTATTCCTTTTTCTATTTCCTCTGCACAGATTTTTGACTAAAAAAAGAAACATTCTAGCACTCTCAGTGCTATCTTACTGCACATATCTATCTGTCTTCTTCTGGCTGCCATAAGCTAAGGAACCACAGGTCAATTCACAGTCTAGGGAATCACATAATCAGAAATGTATTGATGTTGCTATGAAATTCATAATCCCCTCCACAATCCATCATACCTAGCCTTCCTTGAACTGAAATTCAGCTCTCTTGTTTTACCCGTATTTATGCACTACAGTAAATTGTGAAGAACTAGCAACTAGCTGGCAGATTTCAGAGATGATACTGCCCTGAGACACAACATTCATGCCTTCATCCAAAGAGATCTTCTACGTTTCTTCACACTGAGCAGCGCTCCAGAAGGCAGTCCAACTGGGCTGGGCTCTCAGTAGGACCCTATTCAACATAGCAAATACAGGCACCAGGTTCCTGACATTTCAGAAAGCTGTTTATTTTACTTTTTTTCTTTTCAACTGCCACTCTTGAGTGCATTAAGCTGACTTTAGTTGGAGCTTTAGAAGGTCAGGGCTTTATGATTCTGTCACTTACAGACAAGTGTTTGGGAGCAGAGCCAACTGCTTTACCTTGTCCAAAAACAGAAAAACAAGACCTGACCGTCGACAAGCAAACTCATTGGTTAAACATAACCATATTCTTGTATTCTCAGAGCTGTATGACTGTGCTCCTCTTCCAAGAATCGTGAAATCGCATTTTCATACCAATGCACACACTTGACTTCCATGGACAGCATCTCCATTGTTACAGAGTAATTTGGATTACGGCTGATGACTCACTGTGAATGTGCCAGTTAGCCCAAATGCACCCTATCTAGTACAGCAGTCTGTCCTCCCAGAGCAGATATGTATCATCTCTCTCCACACAGACCTATCAGTTTCTCCCAAGCATCACACCAGGAACTGTCTCACTGGTAGCTTCCCACAGAAACTTGTTCCTAACCTGTTCCTGATCTTGTTCCCAACTGGCCCTTCCATCATCCCCTTTCTTCCCCCTCCTCACAACTTCAGCTGCACAGGTAGTCAATATATGCCTCTTCCTGGCTCTGGTCTAGAGTCAATCAATTGCTAGCTGGAATCTATAAACCATTTCACAATCACATCTGCTCAAAAGCAAATCAGAAGCATTTTAGGCTTTTGAAGAAGTCCTTTTAAATAAGGTGAAAATTAGGTTGTATATGGTACCAGGAGAAGGGGATTTTGCTATCTTTGAATCAGGCAACGTTCAGCCTCCGTAGAGAGACTGAGTCACAACAAAGGTGTTGTGACAAAGGCCTTTTAACTCCTTTCTTCTTTTTATAAAACAGAATAATCCCTGTCCTCATTTAATGCTCTTAGAATATCTGAGTATGGAACAACATGAAAATGCAATATATTTAATAGCTCAGTGACATATCTTGGACCAAATTCCCTTCACTTGCATCTGCAAAAGATTAAAGCCAGTGAGCCATGCAGGTTAGAACACAGTCAGGAGTCTGCTCCCCATTTTTGTATACAGAGAAAGCAATCAGGTTTTGTACAAAAAAAGGGCACCATTTCCACTTGATTCTCACGCAGACTGGAGATAGAAGGGAGCTTTAAGCTAGGATACAGGTAATATGTTACTACTCCAGAAACGTTTGTTTCTCTCTATCCTCAGCAATAGTTTAATGTCTGCTTTCAGAGACCAAGATAGTGAAATAAAAGTGGTTAAAGTGAAAACCTAGAATTATTATTACCATTCTAAAAAGTAAGGATTGCTAGCAGGAAAGAAAAGAAGAAAGATATCTGCATTCCGTTCCTGAATAATGTGAAGAAATATAGCCAGGCTGACAGTCTTATAGAGGTGGTTTAATGGAGTTAGAAATCTTTTGAACAGGCAGAAGCAGCAGCAAATATCAAGAAAAAACAGAATTCAGGTAGCAACTTGTTCTAAACTGCTTCACAATCAATCTTCAGAAATCTGGTAAAACTGCAGACTTCCTTATACTTCACAAGCATACACAGTTGTGAGAGATATGAAGAAGAATTCATGTTTGCAATTGGTTGCAATTCCTTATACAAAAGCTTTATCTGGCAGGTGTTTTTTTTACTCTGCAGCACATATAAAGTAAGTCTGGCTTGCAAAAGACTTTTTTCTTTTGTAAAAAGATAGCTCACATCCATAACAGATTTGGCAATACTCTCCCCAGATGCATCCCAGTAACAGTTTCTTCTGCAGTGAAATATTCCAGCATTGCCTTGCTTTGGTGACAAAAGTCTATCCCATTCATTATTAATCCTGGCAAGCCAGAGATACATTAAAGTTGCGCACATCCCAGAGAGAAGCACTTTCTGTTGTTGCCATCTACTTTGGCAAAATGTACTTCCACACATGATTTAATTTATATGGGGAATTTTACTGACTTTCAGTTCTGCGCTGCTTCAGAACCTGACAGTATTTTTTAATGGCTTAGAGCTGGGCTGCGCCTGTCCTCTGAGCTAGCCTCAGAGTGGATGTGGAAGAAGGAATCCTGTGGTCCCCCTACTCCAGGAATGTAATAATCCGCTGCATGCTCTAGAGTAAATACTGTTCTTTTCTGTGCCACATTTGCCAAACTGGATTGACAGTTGCATTTAGCCTTACCCCAGCCCTACCCCACAGGGCGTACAGAGGTGTGGTGCTAGAATTCCAGTGTGATCCTCTCCGTCAGGATTCTTGCAAGGTAATAAGGAGAAAAGAGCAATGCACTAATACCACACAACACCAAAGGAAATTGAAATTATAAGGCACTGGCACTTGTTACACTGGCCACATTAGTCTTAGACCTACTTTTCCATTTAGCTCTGCTGGGCATTTTCTTCTGCTCTTCTCTCCTTCCTCCTACCAGCACTGGAGCCAAGTTATCTGTACAGCCTGTCTCATCAAAGGATGGGAAGGAAGAAGAAGAGGAGACAGGCCAACCTGCTTTTTCTATCTATGCTGCAACGGGCCTGTGCCTTTCTATACGCTGAGGCAAACTGTCTCAAATGATTGTACTTGCCCCTTCCAGGCAGTCCTGTTGCCACCACACTTCATGAGGAGGGAAGTCATTTGCACATAGCACTTGCCACACTCTTGGCCCAATTTGGGAGACCACAGAGTGATGTGTGCACAGAAAAACGCCCCCTAGATTGTAATTATCAGTTGATTTTTATTTGTTAGCTATGACATCTCTGTTGCACTGGTACTGTCAAATAATCGGAATGGGGTAAAGAACCAACCTGCTTAGATTAAAGACTGGCTAACCCAGCATATTGCATAAGCACTTTATTCAATGTGCCTGAGCATTTTCTGGGACAGGGACTCCCACAGACCTCCATGTGGTCAAGTAAAGCTGACAGTTCCCTGCACTTCGCAAGATGAGGAATATCTGCTGTCAGAGAGACAGAACAATGCTAAGATCTTTACAGTCCTCACGGCTTGCTTACTACCCACGCGTAGGTCAGCTTTGCCTAATTTGGATCAGAATCTGGACTATTCAGTGTAAATAAATCCAGCAGGTCATAAATACATTCCCAGAGACTCCCTTTTGGTAAGACATAGCCATATGTTTTAATTTTGGAACACCACACTAGTGGCAAATAATTCTTTAGATAATGAGAACTACTGATCAATGCTAGGGTTGGACTTGCTTTCTTTTTCCCTTTTAACTAAAGAAATAAGAATAAACAATTTACAAATGATCTATGTTTCTTAAATTAAGAAGCTGTTTGCTGAGTTACTGAAATGTTGCAGTCTGAGCCTAAAAAGAGAACACAGATGATACAAAATTACCGACTCGCAGCTGCCTGGAAGTTCCATCTGCCCTGAAGTACACCAAAAGCTTGCTCTGTGGGAAGTGGTAACAAGGAAATGTACTATATTTACATCTCAGATTTGTGCTTCCCACTGGATACTGCCTAGAGTACTGAGGAAGGACTAATGAGCTATCCCTTTCAGTCTTCCCAAACTGTTTTAAGAATAGTAGCAAACTCCTTTACTTTATGATTCACTACTGGTTTGTGAACTCATCAGTTATAAACACAGATCCCACGCTACCCTTGCTACGACCCCTGTAGCAAGGTACATCTCAGCATTAGGAAAAATGGCAGAATTAAACCTGGAGTTTTACACAGCACAATGATTTAACGCTTTTTTTAAAAAGCTGTCTTCCGTTTCAGAAAAAGTATATATTTTTCACTTATCCAGGCTGAAAAAGCATTCAGTTGCATCCTCTTAGTGCAATAAAAACAATATGTTGATAAATTTAAAATCAGGCCTTCAGCCTCTGTCTTAGAAGGGTGGTATATGCTGTTGTTTTATAAATATGAAGTATCCTCAAGCTATTCCTTATTTAATTAATAACTTCCCTGATTTTGAAGATTTGAGCCTTTCAACAAAATGGGGAAGACAAATTACCTAGGCTGATTTGCAGTTATTCTAAATTCGAACTCTTCATCTAGTAGTAAAACCCTGGTGTTGCTGAAGACACTGGAAACGTTTTGATGCAAGGGTACTAGGACTTGACCTCATCCACCATGCCCATTCCTGAAAATCCTCCACTTTGACTGATGAAGCTTTTGCAAAGACTGAGCTACTAGTTTTAGCACCCTGAACTATAGCCGCTAAATTCTTAGCATTTCTGTATTTGTCTAAATTACTGCACCCTTATTACTTTAGGTAGAGTTTTTTTATGTTTATCAATCATTCCTGTTATTAAAGGTCATCAAATCCGTGAGTTTTAGGACAGTCAGTCTGCAAGTCATCGTGAACTGCGCTGGGGGAAGCTGGCAGAAAGGTAACAAGAGAGCAGCTCTATGATAGATTCCATAGACTCACAATGACCTCAGGATTGTTGATGGAATCTAAAACAAAGGTTTTGTCTACCTGAAAAAAAACAATTGAAAAGTCTTCTACTGCTTATCAAATGAAAATGTGCAGCTATCAAATGACCAAACTTCTAGTACTTACAAACATAAGACGCGTAGGTATGTTGTCTGATTGCACCAAGGGATTTTTATAGAGCCAGATCTCTTCTGGCTGGATAACCCGCTGGAATGGATCCAAAAATTCTGTAAAGCTAAAAATAACAATTAAAGATTTATTTTTTTAAACCACAAGACTCCAGCAGATCTAACCTCCCCCAAAGTTAATAATGCTATTTTCTGCATTATTTATCCATATACATTGCTATCCCACATCACTCCTTTTAGTATTACAACCTTCATAAATACACTTCATACTACACTTTCATAAATCATTAGGAAAATGATTTTAAAAATTCTGTATTCTACAACTCTATAAAAATTCCATAAACTTCACTCTGGAAAATAAATGGTCATTGCATGCTTATTCTTGCAGGAAAAGTGCTCAAAGGATATTGTATGATTAAAAGACCACAGGTAGCAGACGCTTTACACTACAGAAATTATACACCAGTTGTCAAACACAAAATCTGTCTTTCAAATTTCAAGACCCAGAGTTTGAAGTTAGTATCTGCAGGATGAGGAAGCAGGGAGAAAAGACACATTCCAGACAATTCCTTCTACTGATAGAAAGAAAAAATAACTGTAGAGAACATCGCCAAAAGATACTTGCTCCTAGAACAAAATGTGCCAGAAACACAGTATTTTGGTTTAGCTGCCAAACTGAAACAGAATCCAGCTCCACCAGAAATGTTTCGTTCAACCAAAACTGAATGCTTTAACTTCATTCTCATGTCATCCAGCCCTCTGAAAAGGTTGATTTTCCAATTATGCTATTTTGAAATGAATTACATCAAAATAAAATGTTGATCAAAACAATCATCAAGAACACATACATCTCCTGATTTGTCTGAAACTTCCCTCTTTTCAACCTAGCTAATCCCCCCAAGCGCTTTTGTTTGTTAAAGCTTGAATGAAAATCAAGACTATTTAAGATCTATGATATGCATTTGAACAGCTCTATTTACAATAATCATGGACTATAAAGAAATGGAATCAAAGTAAAACCAGAACCTTTCTGAAATGGACTGCAAACAACATGCTACTTCCGTGGATCACAGCAACATGTTTCAGACTTCTGCCAGTTCCTTTATCAAGCTGCGTTATCCCCAGGGACGCTAAGAAGTTCGGAGATTCTAAGCAGCCCCAAGTGAAATTTGTTCTCTTTCAGTGAAATCTACTCTATTAAAATAATGCGATAGAACTATTAAAACCATCTTATTTTCACATATGTGAAATGTGAAATTCACACATGCAAAGTGACTGGAATACAAAGAGCATCTCAGGAAATACAAAGAAAACTAAAGGGAAATAGTCACTGTTATATGGAAAGTAAATTCTTCTTTTTCCCCAACTCTAAAAGAGGAAGCTGGAATTGTGATGCCATTCTTATCAGAAGTTCCAAGAGTCTTTTAGGACTACATAAATAGTCTTTCTTCTTCTAAAATCTAAAATCATACTCTTCCTCCTCCTTCACTACCCTTTAACTCTCCCTAGCTTTAGAGTCCTATCAAATAAACTTCTTGGGAAGAGAAATATTAAAGAAGTCTTCCCACAGTTGGAAGTACCCTGAGAAACAGCATTTCCTTCAGCGAAATGAGGCTTGCTCTACACTCTCCCCACATTACTCGCTTCAGGACTAGTTTACCTGAAACCAGTGCATCTGGGGATGGCCGCTCAAAGATATGCGGGGAGCAGCTTTCTGCAGATTGGGCTTCCCTAAGCCCATTGAGCCAGAGCACAGAGGTATACCTGCCCAAAGCTTTTCTTACTGTAAGTTTCCCAAAGCCACGGGCTTTAAACCTCCCAAAGCAGGTTTCATACAAGTAACAATTAACTTTTAAATGGAATAAACTCAAAGCAATTTGTAAAATAGACTAAAATTAAAACCACACATATGCTACTCTCTTCATGTACAGACAGGTCCTCCAAGCCAGCGAGCTCAGTGATTTACTCAGCAGCACCACGTCTTATCCAGTCTCCTTGGACTCTATGAAATTCTTCTTTCTGTCCTCTCTGAGGACTGACCAGCTGCTCTTTGCTTTTTCGCGCTCCCATTGACCCTCTCTATCTGAGCATACCCAGGCTCCCACCAGACAGTAGATACAGTCATTCTCTATCTATCCCAACAGCCCAGCTCACCTCTTCTTCCTAAAAGAAGAGAACACAATCTGAGGACCATACAAATTAAACATGTGCAGACACTTATGCTTCCATTACTGACCCACAGGGACAACTAGACTCTTGTGGAAACTTACAGACGCTTGTATTGGGGAAAGGAGTTTATTTACTAATATACCCAGCTTCTTCAAATCCAGGCTTGACTCTGCTCTCTCAAGAAGGCACAAGATGAAGTTCAGAAATATCAAAACACCTTGTTTCAGCATTGTCAAAATGAACACTTTTTTTCCTTTAAAAAACAATAGGCATAAAAGAGTGAAAGATATCTTGAAAATACCATTGCAAGGAAATAAAACACCCCCCAAAAAAGAAAGACTAATTTAAAAAATTTTCACTTAAACTAGAAAAATAAAGGCTGATTTCCAGATAACTGAAGTAGCTTTATCTCCAAGAGTCCTAAATTGAAGCAAGAGTCCTAAATTCTATCATCTGTACTGATCTGCTTTTAAAGATACGCACGACAGCTAAAAGTAACAAACTGCTGCTTGGAAGGGCTCTCTTGCCATTTAAAAATCACAGGCCTGGGCATGACTTTCAACAAACGTCACCTGGGAGAGTTGACTATCAGCGATCCCAAGTATACTGTCTAGGAATTAAGTTTATTACACAAATGTGTAGAGAATCTGGGATCAGGAAGTCCTTCACCACCCTTATCTAAACATAAATAAATAGATAAGTGCAAGCACGTCTGGACAGCCAACAAACTAAAGAAGCCAGTAGAGCTTCAATGACTGTATCTTTCAGACTGCCACATCTTTTCTGACACCATCCCCCAGGTACCTGCTGGCCTGGATGACTCAAGGATCTGCTTTGAGGCAGTTCTCAAAGCGCTGGAACTAATGGACATGCCAGGCAACGCCTCGGAGCAGAGACACGCTCTCTGACATACCTAGGCCTTGATGCACTTCTTCAGACTACGAAGAACAAACAACACATGCTCGTTTATGCTTCAAGGTGATCACAGTGCAGTCGTTCGAACAATGGTGCGCTTTCGGAAAACGTGTCACATTAGAGCAGACACTTAAGTAATTTGACATTTGACATTATGAGCAAACGCCAACAGAATTAAAGGTATGGGGCTTCTCTCCTTTGTCTTTTGTTCCCTCTCTCCTCTTTGCGTGAGGAAAATGAGATTAAAGTACATTTGTTAAAATTTGTCTGAGAAATTAAAAAAAAGAAAATTCAAACTCATATTTCTCTTGGAAACCACGATGTGACGCTGCAAATGTGTTAAGTCATAGCATTTAACTTCTGTAAAGACAAAATAATACATGTGCTAAGGGATTAAATTATAAATAATAAATATCTGATTCCAGCTGAAGACCATAATTCTGAATTTTCTGATTACTCTGCACTCATTATCTTTGTAAATTTCTGAGGACAGATTCATTGCAGAGCTATCAATGACAATAATAATTATTATTATTTTATTTAATAATAGCATTTGCATCCATCACCTATTAAATCTGATTATGTAACCATTGCTTCTGCTTACTGGTGTTCTAAGCCTCTTCCAAGAAAATTGTTCAAACACTACACTGGGACATAATGCACCAAAAAAAAAAGCTGCTAAATTGAGTAGTTATCATTTCAAGATCACTACTGAAGGAGAGAAAAACAGATATAGAAGAAAGCAGATCTTATCTATGTGAACACAGAAACAGAAACAGTTAGAGAAAAGTAACTGTATCAAAAAAAAACACTTTTTTCCTCCACAGAAAAAGCCCAGCTGCCAATTAAATTTTTATGCCAAGACTCATAAGAGAACAATTCTCTTCTTTTTTTTGAAGCATCACCAATGGGCAGCAGGATACGAGATTTCACTAGCTTGAAAGCAGTTCCCTTTGTACTCTATTAAACAATCATGAGGACATACTGGTTTCTAAGTTGCCTGACACTTAGTGATTTATGTTCCTTTGTCCTGTCTAAGAGTACAGTCTATTACTATTCATAAGCCAGCACACGCTTGTTTAAAAGTCTAGCTGTTATTAGTAATAAACGTAGTCTTTGGATAAAGAGAAATGTTTCTAGCCATTTTCTATCACGGCTGAAAATGCAAGCTCATTGCTGAAAATACAATCATAATCATACTTGCTTAACACCCACGGCAGCAGGTGGGCAGCTTAGAAAGCTTATTTCATATTAGCACACGAAAATTTTGTATAAGCTTTTTCACAGAATCACAGAATGGATGAAGTTGGAAGATCTCACCTCTGGAGATCATCTAGTCCAACTCCCCTGCTCATGCAGGGTCACCTGCCAGGGTCACCTGCACATCGCACAGGATTGTGTCCAGATGGCATTTGAATATCTCCAGAGAAGGAGACTCCACAGCTTCTCTGGGCAACCTCTTCCAGTGCTCTGTCACCTTCACAGTAAAGAAGTTTTCCCTTATGCTCAGAGAGAACTTCCTGTGTTTCAGTTTGTACCCGTTGCCTCTCATCCTATCTCTGGGCACCACTGAGAAGAGTCTGGCCCCATCCTCCTGACACATTGATCAGATCCCCCCTCAGTCTTCTCTTCTCCAGGCTGAACAGGCCCAGCTCTCTCAGCCTTTCCTCATAGGAGAGATGCTCCAGTCCCCTCATCATCTCAGTAGCCCCGCTGCTTGACTCCCTCCAGGAGCTCCATGTCTCTCTTGTACTGGGGAGCCCAGAACTGGACACAGTACTCCAGGTGAGGCCTCACCAGGGCCGAGTAGAGGGGCAGGATCACCTCCCTCCACTTGCTAACAACACACTTCCTAATGCACCCCAGGAGACCATTGGCCTTCTTGGCCACAAGGGCTCATGCTGCCCATTGGTGGCTTATGGTCTACCTGTTGTCCACCAGCACTCCCAGGTCCTTCCCCGCAGAGCTGCTTTCCAGCAGGGCAGCCCCCAGCCTGTACTGGTGCATGGGGTTATTCCTCCCC